TGTATCTATTTTTATCTGAACAAAACCATCTGTATCCGAAATGGATACAAATGGATACATTGTTGCAACCGTAAGACTTTTTCATGTAAAATATAATAGCGGAGCTCTCTGCAAGGGACAGAAGTAATTATGGGGTTAAATGCCGGCCGAAGACGGGATGAAAAAATTTTTTTTTACCGTTGGTGGTAACGTCGGCCGATCGAACAACCGATTTTTCAGGTTTTTTTTATAAAAAAAGGACAGTTTTTGACCCGTCTATGGCCTGCATTAGTCTACCCAGGTGAATCATGTATTTTCCAGACAAATTGGGCTTTTGTCTAATGGAAATGATAGAATATCTCCTGATTTTTATTATGAAAAAAAAAAAATAGTTTTTTTTTTAAGTTAGCTATTTCTTGCTATTACTATGATCTACCACCAAAGAATAACCAAAAATAAATTTTCCTGCTCCTGATGATTGTGGGCGTGGCACTACCACGTATATGTATATTATTTGTTGTTTGTACTCGTAGTAGGGCCAAGAAACAATAGTGCAGATTTTGCTTTTTTATCCTACATAAAACACACTTACACTGATACTAAATTAAAAAATTATTTAGCATGACCTTTCACCCATGTATTTTCCAGAGAAATTGGGCTTTTGTCTAATGGGAAATGATAATGATCTCCTGATTTTTTTATGATGAAAGGAAAACTGGCAAAAAATAGTGAAAAAAAAAATTTTTTTTAACCGCTACCCGCCCAGCCTATGGCTAGATGGTGAACGGGCGAGCACCTCGTCCCTCCGGGTGGACGCCATATGGCATCCTTCCAGGCATGCGCAGTTTGCGCACCTGCAGAGCCGCGCAGCGGCGCGATCTGTCACCGGCCGTGTACCTCGGACACGGCCGATGACAGATCGGTGTACCGGCCCCATTGACCAATCACAGCAGGTCACATGACAGTTGTATACAATGGATGGTTTCCTTTCATGCCATCCGTTGTTTATAAGTGTGGCTAGCTATGAATGGTCACAGCGATCACATGCACAAGCTGGGGCAATCACAGCCCAGCTGTGTCATGTGATTAGCTGTGGCCAAATCACAGCTAAGCACAAAAAAAAAACCTGAATGAATCGATGTCATTCAGTAAAGTAATTCTTTGCTATAAACAAATTGTGTAAAAAAAAAATACTCATCACTTCCCCAAAGTAGTACAATGTTACTATGGTAACATTATACTACTTTGGTCATAGTGAAATATGAAAAAAAAAATCTTTAAAAACAGAAAAAAGTAATAAAAAATAATAAAAAAATAAAAAAAACTTTAAAAAATTATCAATTTTTTTTTTTCGTACTGCCACCAGTCAGTATCCCTGATCACCGCCATGCCAGTTATATGATGGTGCTGTACTGCACTGGTGACAGTATGTAAAAACAAAAATAGTGAAAATTATTTTTTTTCATTTCTTCATTTCCGAAAAATTATGACAAAAAAATTACAACTTCAAAAAACTCGCCATTGCCTCTTATGAAATACGTCGGACTGTTTACTTTGCAAAAAGTGGTCACTTAGGGGGTATCTGTCCTTTCTTGATACTAAATTAATTTTTTTAATCCTACCTAAAATACACTGACCCTGAAATTGACCATGAGCATGACCTTTCACCAGGGGCAAACTGACCATTTGGAAACTCTGGCACTGCCCGAGGGCCCGGGGTCAGTAGGGGGCCCCATGAGATGCCCCTGGTACCTTTTTCATAGGCTTTTTTGAGTTTGGGCAAGGACACAGGGGCCCCATGATCCCCTATTGCCCAGGGGCCCCATGAGTTGTCAGTCCGCCCCTGCCTTTCCCCCTAACCTTATCCTGACACTGACCAAGATCAAACCCTGATCTAGCTATTTTACCTTAATTTTTTAATTTTAATTTATACATTGTTTGAATGTATACAATTTTCTCCTCTAGCAAGGAGAAAAAGATAAAATGTATTATATAATGCAGCCTTTCTCAACCGGGGTGCCGCATGACATATTCAGGGGTGCTGCAGCATCCTGGTAGGGAAAGCTGTCAGATTAGCCCGAGCTCCCGATCCCCAGCTGAACTGTACTTCTGCAATGAGGGAGATCGGTCAGACTCAGCAACATGAAAGGAAAAGGAGGGGAAATGTGTTTTGTGTTCTATGCCTCCCCCCCCCCCTTTTGAGTGCAGTACCAGAAATGTGAGGGAAGGTACTGTACTGCAACTTTTTTATATGGCTGTATATATGCATGTGTACATGTGTGTGTGTACATGTGCTTGTATGTGTATGTACATGTGTGTGTTTGTATGTATGTGTACATGTTTGTATGTATCTGTGTGTGTGTGTGTACATGTGCTTGTATGTGTATGTACATGTGTGTGTTTGTATGTATGTGTACATGTTTGTATGTATCTGTGTGTGTGTGTGTGTACATGTGACCCCCCCCCTCCTATTCTTGCACTATTAGAACTGCTATTTTAGGGCTTGTTTGTAATAGCATCAAAGACTGCCTCTCCTCTGAAAAGCGATCCAAGTTCAGATTGTTTTTCAGAGGCATTTTACAGACAGTGAAGAGACACCATGTTAACTCCTCACCACCCATTTTAACCTCGTAAATGCAGCAACACCACACCGCAACCGCAAGCAATGCACACAGTTGTGGTGTGGTTTCAGTGCAGCCCCATTCACTTGAGGGTATACTTCCAGCCACGGCCACATGCATGCACCCCCCGGTGTTCCCTCTGCAGCTAAATGGGGAGCAGTTGGGGGTGGTAAAAAAAAGCTCAACCACATTGGTTTTAGCGCCCTCCAACCTCACCTGTGAACAAGCCCTTGTTTCACATCTGTGGATCTGCTTGCTGCATGTAGGACAGCCCATTCATTTCAGTAGGCTGCTCTGCTCGCAGAATTGCAGGGAAAGAAGTCCATGGCCCTATTTTAGAAATAGTTCTGCACCAAAAACACCCCGAATTTGCCAATGTGTGGGGTACCATTAAGAATTAAGGCTGGAGGCAGAGGCGGACTGAACTTTCGAGCACTTGGGCACTGCCCGAGGGCCCGGGGTCAGTAGGGGGCCCCATGAGATGCCCCTGGTACCTTTCATTGGCTTTTTCATAGGCTTTTTTGGATGTGGGCAAGGACACAGGGGCTCCATGATCCCCTTTTGCCCGGGAGCCCCATGAGTTGTCAGTCCACCCCTGGCTGTAGGTCAGATTTAGAGGGACTTTTCCCCTCCAAGCTTATTAGCCACAAGGGGGCCAATTTAGATCCATGACACATTGGACAGTGATCAACAGCCAATGATCTGATCTTCACATTTCTTTCAGATATTCAAGACATAATAATCTGCAGAAAATGTCCAAAGTGTTCTTCCTGCTTTCCCTGTGTACCTGGGACGTGTTGGTGGCCTCTGTCCTCATTGGGACTAACAAAGGAGTGACTGTGGGAAGAGGTCAAACCGTTTACATCACCGAAAACGAATTACGCTTCAACATCCCAAGCCACAGAGACTCCTGCAGGGTCGAAGTGGTCTCGAATGAGCCGGCCACTCAACGAGTTGGAATTCTGTCTCCTCAGGTAGGGTTTCAAGTTTCCGAATGAAATTCGGACAACATTTTCCTTATTCAGAGATTGAGATGTAAATGAATTTCCCCCCAAAAAAACAGCTATTACTCACAATGAAATTGGATCGACTTGATATTTTTTGTATTTTGTTTCGAATCCTTTGGAAAAATGTTGTCATAAACAAAACAAAATTCTACACTTAACACATCGATTCAAAACTATTTTTTTTTCATTCTGCACATGTCTAGTTGTCAATGTTTTCACCAAAGAGTTACACAAATTTCATAAAATATTCAATTAGAAAAATATGTAAGCCTAGAAATATGTATTACATTATCCAGCATTGCTAAATCAAGAACCCTAAATGACTGTAAAGACGACGAAGGAGTCATCCATTGGCACAGGTACTTAGAGAAGAATTCCAGGTACGGACATTTCTACAGTTACATTGGTCCAGCTTTGACCGGTGTAACTATACATATACCATACCTGTTGGATCCATCCAGAACAAGGGTCTCCAAACTTCAACAGAGGGACAGTCTACTATCCTCCAGACTCTGGGGGCGCCAGACTGTGGCAATGAGATTAGAAAATGCCAAATGGAGCAAACATCACTTCAGGCTTAGTGGTTAGGGAGGAGTAAACAAATTACAGAGAACCTGTGATAAATAGGTGTTGGAATAGTGCCCCATCATTGGTGTCAGTGGGAGGTATAGTGACCCATTGATGGTCCTAGTGGAAGTAAAAGCGCCCCAACATTGGTATTAGTGGGAAGAATGTTCCTTACATTGGTGATCAGTGGGAAGAATGTTCCTTACATTGGAGGTAAGTGGGATTAATGTCCCTTACATTGGTGATCAGTGGGAAGAATGTTCCTTACATTGGAGGTAAGTGGGATTAATGTCCCTTACATTGGTGGTCAGTGGGAAGAATGATCCTTACATTGGTGATCAGTGGGAAGAATGTCCCTTACTTTGGTGATCAGTGGGAAGAATGTTCCTTACATTGGTGGTCAGTGGGAAGAATGTTCCTTACATTGGTGGTCAGTGGGAAGAATGTCCTTACATTGGTGATCAGTGGGAAGAATGCTCCTTACATTGGTGATCAGTGGGAAGAATGCTCCTTACATTGGTGGTCAGTGGGAAGAATGCCCCTTACATTGGTGGTCAGTGGGAAGAATGTTCCTTACATTGGTGATCAGTGGGAAGAATGCTCCTTACATTGGGGGTCAGTGGGAAGAATGCTCCTTACATTGGTGTCAGTGGGAAGAATGTTCCTTACATTGGTGATTAGTGGGAAGAATGCTCCTTACATTGGTGATCAGTGGGAAAAATGCTCCTTACATGGGCGGCCAGTGGGAAGAATGTTCCTTACATTGGTGATCAGTGGGAAGAATGCTCCTTACATTGGAGGTCAGTGGGAAGAATGACCCTTACATTGGTGATCAGTGGGAAGAATGACCCTTACATTGGTGATCAGTGGGAAGAATGCCCCTTACATTGGTGGTCAGTGAGAAGAATGCTCCTTACATCGGGGGTCAGTGGGAAGAATGCTCCTTACATTGGGGTCAGTGAGAAGAATGTCCCTTACATTGGTGATCAGTGGGAAGAATGTTCCTTACATTGGTGATCAGTGGGAAGAATGCCCCTTACATTGGTGGTCAGTGGGAAGAATGTCCCTTACATTGGTGATCAGTGGGAAGAATGTTCCTTACATTGGTGATCAGTGGGAAGAATGCTCCTTACATTGTGATGGTCAGTGGGAAGAATGACCCTTACATTGGTGATCAGTGGGAAGAATGTCCCTTACATTGGTGTCAGTGGGAAGAATGCCTCCTTACATTGGTGGTCAGTGAGAAGAATGCATTCCTTACATGGGGGTCAGTGGGAAGAATGCTCCTTACATTGGGGTCAGTGAGAAGAATGTCCCTTACATTGGTGATCAGTGGGAAGAATGTTCCTTACATTGGTGATCAGTGGGAAGAATGCCCCTTACATTGGTGATCAGTGGGAAGAATGTCCCTTACATTGGTGATCAGTGGGAAGAATGTTCCTTACATTGGTGATCAGTGGGAAGAATGCTCCCTTACATTGGTGGTCAGTGGGAAGAAATACTCCTTACATTGGAGGTCAGTGGGAAGAATGTTCCTTACATTGGTGATCAGTGGGAAGAATGTTCCTTACATTGGTGGTCAGTGGGAAGAATGCTCCTTACATTGGTGGTCAGTGGGAAGAATGCCCCTTACTTTGGTGGTCAGTGGGAAGAAGAATACCCCTTACATTGGTGGTCAGTGGGAAGAATGCTCCTTACATTGGTGATCAGTGGGAAGAATGCTCCTTACATTGGTGATCAGTGGGAAGAATGCTCCTTACATTGGTGGTCAGTGGGAAGAATGCTCCTTACATTGGTGATCAGTGGGAAGAATGCTCCTTACATTGATGGTCAGTGGGAAGAATTTTCCTTACATTGGTGGTCAGTGGGAAAAATGCTCCTTACATTGGGGGTCAGTGGGAAGAAATGATCCTTACATTGGTGATCAGTGAGAAGAATTTCCTTACATTGGTGATCAGTGGGAAGAATGTCCCTTACATTGGTGGTCAGTGGGAAGAATGCTCTTTACATTGGGGGTCAGTGGGAAGAATGGGTTCCCTTACATTGGGGGTCAGTGGGAAGAATGTTCCCTTACATTGGTGGTCAGTGGTGGAGAAAATAATGTTCCTTACATTGGTGGTCAGTGGGAAGAATGCTCCTTACATTGGAGGTCAGTGGGAAGAATGAATGCTCCTTACATTGGAGGTCAGTGGGAAGAATGTTCCTTACATTGGTGGTCAGTGGGAAGAATGCTCCTTACATTGGTGATTAGTGGGAAGAATGCTCCTTACATTGGTGGTCAGTGGGAAAAATGCTCCTTACATGGGTGGCCAGTGGGAAGAATGCTCCTTACATTGGTGATCAGTGGGAAGAATGCCCCTTACATTGGTGGTCAGTGAGAAGAATGCTCCTTACATTGGTGGTTAGTGGGAATAATGTTCCTTACATTGGTGGTCAGTGGGAAGAATGCCCCTTACATTGGTGGTCAGTGAGAAGAATGCTCCTTACATTGGAGGTCAGTGGGAAGAATGTTCCTTACATTGGGGGTCAGTGGGAAGAATGCCCTTACATTGGTGGTCAGTGAGAAGAATGCTCCTTACATTGGTGGTCAGTGGGAATAATGTGTTCCTTACATTGGTGGTCAGTGGGAAGAATGCCCCTTACATTGGTGGTCAGTGAGAAGAATGCTCCTTACATTGGTGGTCAGTGGGAAGAATGATCCTTACATGGGTGTCAGTGGGAAGAATGCCCCTTACATTGGTGATCAGTGGAAGAATGTCCCTTACATTGGTGATCAGTGGGAAGAATACTCCTTACATTGGTGATCAGTGGGAAGAATGTCCCTTACATTGGTGATCAGTGGGAAGAATGCTCCTTACATGGGGGTCAGTGAGAAGAATGCTCCTTACATTGGGGATCAGTGGGAAGAATGCCCCTTACATTGGTGGCCAGTGGGAAGAATGCTCCTTACATGGGCGGTCAGTGAGAAGAATTTTCCTTACATTGGTGATCAGTGGGAAGAATGCCCCTTACATTGGTGATCAGTGGGAAGAATACTCCTTACATTGGTGATCAGTGGGAAGAATGCCCCTTACATTGGTGGTCAGTGGGAAGAATACCCCTTACACTGGTGATCAGTGGGAAGAATGCTCTTTACATTGGGGGTCAGTGAGAAGAATGCTCTTTACATTGGGGGTCAGTGGGAAGAATGTCCCTTACATTGGTGGTCAGTGGGAAGAATGTCCCTTACATTGGGGGTCAGTAGGAAGAATGTCCCTTACATTGGGGGTCAGTGGGAAGAATGTCCCTTACATTGAGGGTCAGTGGGAAGAATGTCCCTTACATTGGGGGTCAGTGGGAAGAATGTCCCTTACATTGGGGGTCAGTGGGAAGAATGTCCCTTACATTGGGGGTCAGTGGGAAGAATGTCCTTTACATTGGGGGTCAGTAGGAAGAATGCCCCTTACATTGGTGGTCAGTGGGAAGAATGTCCCTTACATTGGGGGTCAGTGGGAATAATGTCCCTTACATTGGGGGTCAGTGGGAAGAATGTCCCTTACATTGGGGGTCAGTGGGAAGAATGTCCCTTACATTGGTGGTCAGTGGGAAGAATGCTCCTTACATTGGGGGTCAGTGGGAATAATGTCCCTTACATTGGTGGTCAGTGGGAAGAATGTCCCTTACATTGGGGGTCAGTAGGAAGAATGCCCCCTACACAGGATGTCCTACAGTGGGGAAAATTATTATTGGATCCCCTGCAGATTTTGTAAGTTTGCCCACTTACAAAGAAATGAAGGGTCTATAATGTTTATTACAGGTGTATTTTAAATGCTAGAGACAGAATATCAACCAAAAATCCAGAAAATTGAATGGAGTTACTGACTTTTTACACAGTGACCATATTTGTAGGATTGGATTAGTAGTTGACTGTTCTTGTTGTTCCTGAAGTGTATGAGGCGTGCAATTCGTATCACAGAGAGGTCAACATCATTTATCCGCCCAATGGGTGACCAGACAGACGTTTATAAACAGAATCATTTTGGCCCTAATCATAATTCTTCAGTGAAGCCCTCTATAGAAGAGACACAAGTAATGTTTTTGCAGCAATTCCATTTGTCGGATTATTGAGGATCTTCCATCCTACATTCTCTCTTACAGGGATTCGATTGTCATTTCCTACAGGATGAAGTGCGCTACACACACAATGGATCCCCCATGCTGGATGTCGATCAGGTGATGCTTAGAGTGTACAGGTAAACTTTACTGTATGTTTCTATAGCAGTGGTCTGATTCCATATGAAGGGGGGCATATTATTAATATTATTATTAATAATAATAATATATCATCATTCATATGAATTAATAATTATATTCATATAATAATATTAATATAATAAATGAAACTAAATTCTCCACCAACTGCCACACTGAGATGAATCAAACTTTTCGAATACAGTAAAGTTGCCAAACCATAAAATTTAAATACTTATAAACCTTTTTTTTTTTTTTTTTTTACAATGTTATTTAATTGTAAAATAATTATTAAATACACATAGATACTTTTGAATATAAATGTATAAAGTTAATTGTTTGACATCCTTAATTATATACTGTACACACTATAGACTTTTAAAGTGCCAAATAAATTATTTATTTATTTCAGGTACTTATATAGCGCCGTCAATTTACACAGCGCTTTACATATATATTGTACATTCACATCAGTCCCTAACCCTCAAGGGGCGTACAATCTAAGGTCCCTAACTCACATTCATACATACACATACTAGGGACAATTTAGAGAGGATCCAATTAACCTACCAATAAATAAAACTGAATATTTATATATACCTTTTTACAGTTTTATTCAATAATAAAAAAATGATTATTACATTTTATAAAAACAAATAAATAATTATATATATATATATATATATATATATATATATATATATATATATATAAATGTGTGTGTGTGTGTGTATATATATATATATATATATATATATATATAGTTGCATAGTTAGTCTGGCTGAAAAAGACAAAAGTCCATCCAGTTCAATCATTAAGTTAGTTAAAAAAAAAAAAAAAAGAAAGTTATAATCCTACACCCACAGTTGATCCAGAAGAAGGCAAAAAAACCATCAAAGCATGATCCAATTTGCTCCTGCTGGGAAAAAATTCCTTCCTGATCCCCCGAGAGGCAATCGGATAATCCCTGGATCAACTTTACCTATAAATGTTATATCCAGTCATATTCTGTGTATCCAAGAAAGAATCCAGGACTTTCCTACAGCAATCCACTGAGCTGGCCACAACCAACCCTTGAGGGAGTCTATTCCACATTTTCACAGCTCTCACTGTGAAGAAACCTTTCCGTGTTTTGAAATTACATTTCTTTTCTTCAAGACATATATATATATATAAATTTGTGAAGTTATTGTTTGGCATCCTAATTATATACAGTACTCTACACACAGATTTCGGTAAGTTTGATCCTACGGACAGGAGAGATGGGATAGGAGATTTGTAAAAGAACAAAAAAATTATTATTATATTATTAATATTAATTATATTCATATAACGGGCAGCACAGTGGCTAAATGGTTAGCACTTCCGCCTGGCAGTACTCGGGTCGTTGGTTCGAATCCCAACCACGGCACCACCTGCCTGGAGTTTGCATGTTCTCCCTGTGCCTGCGTGGGTTTCCTCCGGATACTCTGGTTTCCTCCCACACTCCAAAGACATGCTTGTAGGTTAATTGGCTCCTGTCTAAATTGTCCCTAGTATGTGTATGTATGAATGTGAGTTAGGGACCTTAGATTGTACGCTCCTTGAGGGTTAGGGACTGATGTGAATGTACAATATATATGTAAAGCGCTGCGTACATTGATGGCGCTATATAAGTACCTGAAATAAATAAATATAATAATATTAATATAATGAATGAAACTCATTTTTTTTTTTTTTTTGAAGATTCAGATTTTTTAAAGCTTGATTTGAAAAAAGGGGAAGTTTCCTTTTGGAACACATTTTGTTTCTTGTGGAATTCTCTGAAAAAACATAAACTTCTTGTGTAGAGCGGAACTACCCCGAGTCTGAGCACCACAAACCAAAAGCACTATTGAAATAATTTATAGTATACAAAGCAAACTCCTCCATCCATCCATGTCTCCATGCTTTATTTTGCTGAGAAATCACTTAGAAAAACACACCCAAAGCATTTCTGGCAGTGGCCATCTTGAGTAAGGGCAGATGGTTCATGTAGCATTTACTATCCATCTGCCCTTAGCTCAGGCATACAGGCAGATAGGCATACTTAGCTAAGAAAACCCCTCCTCCCCACCTGAAGACTCCTGGGATGTATGACATCGTTTGCCTAGGCATGGAAACCAGGAAGTAACTAAAGAAATGTAAAAAACAGAATAAAACAAGTGAATATGATATACTTTCCTATCTCGTTACTAATTTTATCAGCATCATTTTTAAAAATAGTCCACGATTGAGAGAGTGAAGTTCCACGGTAACTAATATTGTATATTGGCTTGAGCTCTAGGTGGTGCTGCTAATTGAGAGTGCTGCACTATTATGTGGAAATTCCTATATCCTGGCTGTTGATCAATGCCAATAGACAGTGATGACCCAAGAAAACAGCATTAATTACTGACATTTTGTAAAAAAAAAAAAGCTCCTGCAAGAATTTTTTTTTCTGCTCTTAGAAGTTAAACTGTGTTATCCAAGGTGTCCATGCATACTATTTTGGCCTAATAGTGTTTTTCAAGCTTTAGCATTTAGAAGCAGAAAAAATATAGCTTTTGTAGAATTTTTGGGAGCATTTTTTGCTCCTAACAGCTTTTTTTCTAGTTATTTTTTTAAATGTATTGTAAAAATGCCAATAAAATGCTAATGCCTCTAAACACTTCTAAACGCTACTAATAACCACGGTTACCATTGTTTTTTATGCAGCGTTTTTTGAGCTTAAAAAAAAAAAAAGCTAGTGTGCATGGAGCCTATACAGGGATACAAAATATTATGTTGGATCTATGCATGGCTAGACTAGCTTGACTTAGGTTGAAAAAAAATTCCTTTGAAGTGGTTACAAACAATAATATTTAAAAAGTTGTCCAAGTGCTGAGAGCGACATTCCAGTGTTTAGTCATAGCTGTAAAGTTGACATTTACTTAATAGTAAAATAAAATGATTCATAAAAAAACAGCCTTCAAGCTTTGTGTTTAAAATCAAGCAAATGTATAACCTGTCAAAAATTGTGATTTTTTATTTTTTATTTTTAACTGTATACACACAAGCCACTTTTAAGATGCCAAACAATAAATTTCACATATTTAGATTTTTTTTTAAAAATTTAAAATAAAAAGAAATCCGTAAATAAAATTGCACAATTCCTTTCTATATAATATGTGAATTTTTTTTTTTTACTGTTTGGCATCCCTAGTGCCAAACAATAAAATTCTATATAAAAATATGTTTTTAAATTTTATTCAATATTTCTTAAACAATTCTAAATAAGATGGTATTATTTTCCCTGTATAAATACATGATGTTTATTGTTTGATATCCTTAATTATATACTCTACACACAATAGCCTTTTAAGGTGCCAAATAATAACATTTGAATACTTACATAAACTTTTTTTTACAATTTTATTTAATAATAAAATAATTATTAAATAAAAAGATATATTTTTTAATATAAATACGTGAAGTTAAGTGTTTGGAATCCTTAATGATATACTCTATACA